GCGACAGTCTGGCTGAACGAGGTGGGCCCGGTCTCTAGCACGAAGGAGAGTTAGCTTCGAGTGACGCGCCGCATTTTCACAGCATGAAAAAGTCTGTATCATTTCCTACACTAAAGCCCTCGACCCTAAACCTAAATGAGACAGCTAGAATCCCAAAGTCCGAACATCCCGGTGCCCAAAAAAACCCTAAAATCCTCAAACGCCAAGTCGCTAAAATCCTAAAGTCCTATGCCCCAAAAGTCCCAAAATCCTAATGCCTACTAATGCCCCCAAAAAACCTAAAATCCTAAACCCCCAAAAGACCTAAAATCCGAAATCCACATTCCAAAAAAAGCATAGACCAAGCCTCCTCACATCCATACGCATAGGCCCCTCAGCGCTGAACTCTTACAGCTCTCAAAATCCTGCAGTCTCCAGCCCTACAAACCTATGATAAAGAGCAGCAGTCTAGATTTGGACGCAGCCCGCAAACTCAAGCACTGCCGCACTGCCCCATGAGTCAATGTTTTTAGTGAGAACAGAACCGGCTGCGCAAACCAGATCTTCAACTTCTCAAGTGCACTTCGACTTTCCTCGAATCCTCTGTGCCGCTAGTTCTCTACAGCAGAAGAAACAAGCTGCTCGCGACGGAGACGCGACTTCAGGCCGCCGGACCAACTCACAGCAAGTCCGGCATGTTGAATTTCTCCGACAAGTCCGCAATGCTGCCTTGCAAATAGCCTTCGACAGCGAGTTGCTTGCCCCAGCCTGGGGCACCCGGTCCTTGCCAGCACCTTTGCCGGATCCATGTTTGGAGCTGCCACGCTCGGCTTGGAGAAAAGAGTGGCTGCATCGTTCTTTCCAGGCCCCATGCTCTTTTCCATTTTCTCCAGAAGAAGTGCGGCCAGTGCCTGATGCATCTTGGTCAACTGCTGCTCGCTTCCACGCCGTGAACTTCTTATTGTCGCTGAGAAAGCCAGCAATGTGACCCACCACCATGCCGGATCTTGCAAGGCCGCGGAAGCCCGCAACCTCAAGCACTGCCCAATGATTCATGGCTGCGGTTCGCAGCGCGACGCCCGTGCGTCGCTGCTTCACTGTTCCACAATGCCCTCGAGCGTTGACATGTCCGCAAACTCATTGGATCCCCTTGGTAGAAACGTTGACGGCCCCCCGCCATCAGCTCGACAGTCTGGTTGAACGAAGAGCTATACATCACTGTAATTCCACGAGTACATGAGTCGTCCCGACCGTCATTCGAAGTTTCGCGCTGAATCCTGCCTCTACCCCTCCGACAAGTTCTTCTCACGTGCATGCATCGACTTGCCGCGTCTAGAACGAAAGCACAGGGCCTAAGAGGCTCGGCTGCAGAGGTCGGGGGCAGCCCTGTCTGCCCCTTTCAAAACAATACTTTCGAACATTCGCGGTCCTGAATTCAAACTCCTCAACCGCATCTGTTCCGATTCCGATAATAAAACGTTCCAGCATACATTTGCATGGCTGTGATTTGTACTCTGGATTCCCCTATATGCTTGGCGGCCAGCTCAGGTACCAAAATAATTGGACGCAGCGGGCTCCAATCTGTGCTACCTGCTTCTGCATTCGGACTCACTGCTTGTGCTCGCATATACTGATCTTGCTGTAGTTTGGTCGAACCAAGACACATGTAGTTTGGGCTTCAAAGGACAGACATGCTGCCTTCCGAACCAAAGTGCACGTAGCTTGTGGCGGATGCAGTCTTCTGCGTCAATCCTATTGAAATTCTAAACACCTCTAATCCTCCAGCCCAGAAGCCGCTAAGTAGTTCGAATATCGGTCATTTCTGCTCTTCAAAGCAGCACTTTCAAAAATTCGCGGTTCGTCGCCGTTGAAACTCCTCACCAGTCCGCTGCTGGCCCGATAAAGCGACGTCCCAGGCATATGTTTGAATGTCTGCGCTTTGTGGCTTCTATGCATTCCCCCATTTGGGTGTCCAGATGCAAGACCAAAATGTTGTCGACTAGCTGCACGCATCCTGCTCCAGCTTTCTGATGCCCAGCCTTAACTTTCATGTCACAAACCGTCCTCTATGGTTTTGGGTGATGTTTGCATATGTACCCTTTAAACAAACACAACCCGGTGGGGTTTTCGCTTCCGCGCGGCGCGCCCTGGACCACCCTTGGGTCGAGGCGCGACGCTTCGGTTGGCAGTGCCGGGCAAGCCCTAAGCCCCTAAACCCTAAACCCGAAACCCCTCAACCCTAAACCCTAAACCCCCTAAACCCCTAAACCCTCAACCCTAAGCCCTAAACCCCTAGACCCTAAACCCCTAAACCCTAAAACCTAAACCCCTACACCCTCAACCCTAAGCCCTAAACCCCTGATCCCTAAACCCTAAACCCTAAACCCTGAACCCTCAACCTTCGACCCGGAAGCCCTGACTCAGGCCCACGCGAAGCCAGCATCCGGGATGAAAGCATAGGTTCCATCACAGAAAGAAGCGACTTTGACCTGTGGGTTTTTATCGGGTAGAGGGTTTAGGGTTTTATGGGGGGTTTAAGGGGTTTAGGGGTTAGGGTTTTATGGGGTTTACGGTTTTATGGGGCTTAGGGTTTGGGGGTTTTATGGGGCTTTTAAAGTGGGTGCCTTTAACTAGGGGTCCCTTTCATTCCTTTCAGGGTCCCTTTTCGGGTTCCTTTCAGGGTCCCTTTAAGGGTTCCTGTGAGGGTCCCTGTAAGGCTTCTGAAGCTAGGAAAGGGCAAGCACAGCTTTGGTCTGGATGAGACCTTGAACGGAGGTCCAAGTAACCAGTTCCACTCCCTCCCACAGCACTGCAGAACCCTAAACCCTAAACCCCCAAACCCTCTTAGAGGTTCATGGGGCTTAGTAACTATAGGGTTATAAATAAGGTAACTAGACTTCTAATTACTTATAACCCCAATTCGAGTACTTATAACCTTACTTACTAAGTCCCATGATCCTCCAAGTACACCCCCAATCTCCCCAAAACTGATGAATTCAGATTCGAGTCTATCACTAGGCTCCAGGGACTGTAGGTTTAGGGAGTTTAGCTTACTTCCCCAATAAGCCAGGGAAATAATAGGTTAAACTTTCAGGTTCCTACTCAAGTTATACGAACCCAAAAAGCTTAAAGGTTGGGTATTGGGGAACTAATAAGTTAGGTCTAGGGTTTAGGGTTTAGGGTTTAGGGTTTAGGGTTTAGGGTTTAGGGTTTAGGGTTTTCGGGTTTAGGGTATTTAGGGTTTAGGGTTTGGGGGCTTCAGGTTCAGCAGCTCCGGCTGGAGCAGCTTCTCGTCGAGCTCGTTGCCTCGAATCCTAGGAACAGAGAATCCCAAAGCATTGAGCCTAAACCCTAAACCCTAAACCCTAAAACCCCTAAACCCTAAACTACAACCCTAAACCCTTAAACCCCTAAACCCTAAACCCTAAACCCCTAAACCCTAAACCCCTAAAACCTAAACCCCCTACGATTTGAAGGCTCGGCCCTGGGCCCTTACTGTCCCAAAACCTCAACCTTAAACCCTTAAACCCTGCACCCTAAATCCGAAACCCTACACTGCTACACCCAGGTTTCGGGTTTAAGGATTAGGGTACACCCTAGAATCCTAAACTCTAGGACCTCTCAGTACCCCTATACCAAGAACCTCAAAGCCTAAACTTCAAAAACCCATGAATACCCTGAAAGATCCCTTTCAGGAACCCTTCTAGATCCTTTATATTCGAGCCCGAGCTCCTAAACCCATGGCCCAAAAGCCCTTCCACGGCGTTTGAGGCTCACGCCAAGAGCTTGCTGTCAATCTCGTAGCCTTGTCTTTGGCAGCTCTGAAAAAATCTTGAGTTCTTCAAGAGGTAGGCTCTTTGGGATCCAAGTTAGCCCTTAACCAAAAGCCCCAACAACCTTAAACCCTAAACATCTACGGGTCATTAAACCGTTGATTCAAGGGGTTTAGGGTTTGGGGTTTAGGTGAAGCAGCTGTCAAAGTCAAACAATCCCGTACAGTCGTAAGCACCACGAGCAGTAGTCGCACATGCTCAAGCAGTCCAGGACTGCGTAGCTTAAACGGCTATTGTTGGTACCAGTACCATGTGTCTTGGTCTTATCATCGCATCAGGAACAGAACAGCTGCAGCAGCAGCAGCAGCAGCAGGAGGAGGAGGACGACGACGACTACGA